GAAACATCTTTACAATTATTGATTCCTTCCTTTCTAATCGTAGTATAAAAGTTGTCCTTGATGGACAGCACTCTTTTTCTTATTCTGTAACCTCAGGAGTTACTCAAGGTTCAATCCTCGGCCCTATACTATTTTTAATTTACATTAACCATCTTCCAGATATTCTCACATCTAAAGTGGCATTGTTTGCTGATGATACTACCATTTATTCTTGTCACGATAAGAAGCCAACTCCCTCTGATTGCTTGCAGGGGGCATCTGAGCTTGAAAAGAATCTCACTTCTGCTACAGCATGGGGCTCACAGTGGCTGGTGAACTTTAATTCAGATTAAACACAATTTTTTTCAGCCAATTGTTATCGCAATAATTTAGATCTTCCTATATTTATGAATGGTAATGTACTCTATGAGTCATCTACCTTTTATCTTCTAGGATTAACTCTTACTTCTGATCTTTCTTGGAAACCTTATATCAAATCCGTTGCAAAATTAGCATCTGCTAAAGTTGCATGTCTTTATTGACCTCGACACTTTCTTATTCTGTATTCTATTCTCTATTTCTATAAATCTCAAATCTGACCTTGTATGGAGTACTGTTGCCATATCTGGAGCGGATCTTCTAATGATGCCCTTTCTCTTTTAGACAAGGTGCAAAAACGCATTGTAAACATAGTTGGACCTGCTCTTGCAGCCAACCTTTAACCTCTGTCACATCGTCAAAATGTTGCTTCTCTTTCTCTTATCTACAAATACTATAATGGGCACTGCTCTAAAGAGCTATCGTCTCTTGTGCCATCTACTAAAATTCATTCTCGTGTTACTTGTCATTCAATTAAGTCTCATCCTTTTTCTGTTACTGTTCCTAAGTGCTCCAAAAACTCTTATTCGCCTAGTTTTTTTTCCTCGAACATCAGTTCTTTGGAATTCGCTTCCTTCACCTTGTTTTCTTGATTCATATAATTTGCAATCTTTTAAGTCGTCTGTCAATCGTTATCTTGCTCTACAATCTTCATCTTTTCTCTTCCAGTAACTTCCAACACTAATTAGTGGTTGCTTGCAGCCTTGTTGGAAGCGAAGATAATAAACAAAAAAAAAAAAAAAAATGTTGATTTGACAAATACTACACTAATAAATGAAAAAAAAAATTACTAAGAATAGATTAGACCAGAACTTTGGCAAATGCACATAACTAATATCATAAATTTTAAACATAAATCAAATATGGTTAGTCAAAAATAAAAAATTTTTCTTCCAAAATATCAAAATTTATATACTGAAGAGAAAATTTCTGCTTTTATTTTTTAAACTAGAGCTAATTTTTAATGTCAGTTTTGAATTCAGCAGGTGGAAATACATAAAAAATAACTAATTTTGGTTCCAATACAAAATCACTGCTGGGCAGTGTAATATATTCTTAAAACAATCTATGCTAGAAATCTCAAAACATAACAAATCGTGAATAATACAATTTCTAAAATATTTCAGCAGAATACTCTAGAACTTTATTTTGCATAGTCAGCTCATTTTTGAACTAATAGAATTAGTTTGTTCGATAATTTGGTGGGTTTTTAGACTATTCTTTTTATTCTTCCGCACCAAGATGTTTTGAGAACATTCAAGTTTTTTATGTCTCCAAGTATGTCCATAAAACAAAATTTTTTTGTTTTGTATACATAAACTTAAATGTTCTCAAAATGACTAAAAAACCTGGCCAGTTTTTTGCAACTAAATATAATTTCTGTGATCAGTATTTGAAAGCGATTGCTCCCGCTTCCCAACCAAGTCTGTAGTATAAGATGTCATTGTAGAATTTCTTTTTTTCTTTAATTTATAGAATTTTTTTTTTTCATTATAGATTACAAAATAATTTGTTTAGTTACATATTAATATAGTAATTTTTTTTTTAAAAAACACACGCTAACATGGAGAGGGGCAAGCTTTGAGTAAAACTATTTAGTTTAGTTATTTTTTCTTGGTATAGGTTTATTATATTGTTTAACTCAAAAAAAAAATTTTTTAATATTTTCTTTAATAAGAACTAGTCTCAGCAAATTGGGATCCAACTAACTTAAGAATAATTTACTTTAAAGGGATCCCAAACTCCCAACACATGTTGTGTTCATATTAAAGATAATGTTAAAAAAAAGGTTTGAACCAAGTTTTTTTGATTAAAAATAAATAATGAATGTATACAGTGAAAAACTAATATTGTTGTTTTAGCCAAAGCTCGCCTTCTCCATTTTTTTCAATAACTCGGAGTCTTTAAATTATACATCGCAATCTACAAACTTTGGCGATTCCTTTGAAGCGCATTTAATTTATAAAAGTTTTAGCATTTCATGTCACGGTAGATTTTTGACAAAATAAAAGTGTAATTAAGCAAAGCTGCGTTTTTCAACTTTAATTCAAAAAGTACGATGTAGTAATTTTTTAACATACAGCAAAACAACTTTTACAACAAATTTTTGTATAAGTCAAAAATGATAAAAGCTTTTTATTTCATAGGAGGAACTTCTTTTTTACCGATATCTTAATAATAATAATTAATAAATGATAATAATTTTTAGATTTATATATCTTACTTATAATTCTTTTGTTTTTAAATTAAAACAAATATTAAAGCTTTACTTACGAACTTATGATTTTCATACGAGTGTTTTAAATTATATAGAACGTTATGTATACGGTCTCTCATTTTTGTGCAAGAGAGCGCAGTACTATATATTCTGAATCTTACTTATTTTTATTTAAACAATCGAAACTTTTTTTTAACTTCTTTGGTTATTTTTACGCGATAATATTTTTTGTTTTTCCGTCGAAAAAAAGTATTTATTAACAATTAAATTCATAAACTGACAGTATTAATTAGAGATATTTGATGAATTGTTAACTTTACGAATTAGAGATATTTGATGAATTGTTTACTTACGAATCTTATGATTTTCATACAAGTGTTTTACATTATATAGAACGTTATGTATACGGCCTCTCGTTTTTCTGCAAGAGAGCGCAGTATGATATATTCTGAATCTTACTTATTTTAATTTAACTTTTTAATGGGAACTTTTTTCTAATTTCTCTGGTTATTTTTACGCTATGATATTTTTTGTTTTCCCGTCGAAAATAAGTATTTATTAACAATTAATTTCATAAACTGAAAGTATTAATTAGAGATATTTGATGAATTGTTAACTTTTTTATTATAAAAATGTTTTGATAACGCTGATTTGTTTTAAATCCGTAAATTTGCTGATTTAGATTCAGATAAAAAAGAAAATATCATTTTATTTACGTTTGACAACTCTATACCAATTAGAACCTGATAAGGTTATGAAAAAAAAGTACAAGAATACACTAAACAATACAGTTGAGAGTAGTATCAGATATGAAAATTCGTGAAAGGATATGTGAGATCCTGGTTTTGCATTAAACGTAAAATTAATAGCAACACAAGTCAGCATTATAAATTTTGATTATAAGTTTACTGTTCAATATTTTATACATATTGAAGTTATTCTCCTCAGGCATTTGCCGTGCAGAGTTTTAATAAAGAATACAGTAGTTATATCTACAAGGTGGTCTACTGTTCCACTACTAGGCCAAAAAAAGACATTATCTCTACACTACATAAGGAAAAAAAAAAAAAATTAGTAACTTTAGTTCAAGTTAATATTTCAATATTTACAGTTGCAATATAATAAAGAAATGATGTTTAAAGTTGAACTTTTTATTTAATTATTTTATTTTTTACCTACATTTGTTATAAAAACTTTCAAATCCCTGTCTTTAAAATAATTTGATTTAAATATACTTCAAAGTGATTATTTCAAACTAATTTTTTTCGCTTGACTTCCCAGACTTCATGCAAAGCAAATTGAGATGAAATATTGTCAAACTAAATAAAAATACTGTTACTAATTTTATAAGGGTAATAAATGTAAAACAATTATTTATCGAAGTCTTGATTGAGATAATAAATATTCATAATTTGTAAACATTGAATATATGGCGCAATAACAATTTATAGCAACGAATTAAAAAAAAAAAAAAAAATTTATAAAAGCATAAAACATTTAAGGTTTTTAATATCTTTTTAAATGTTAAAAATAGAAAGGAAAAAAAAAACTAAACAAATAATCAAAAAAAGTTCGAATAAAAATAAATATTTCCAGAGTTTTATTTGTTAAAAGTCTACCGTGACGCCAAATACTAAAACTTTTATAAATTAAATGCTCTTAAAAGGAATCGCCAAGGTCTGTAGATTGCGATGTATGATTTAAAGACTCAGAGTTATTGAAAAAAATGGAGAAGGCGAGCTTCGGCTAAAACAACAACATTAGTTTTTTCTCAGTATGCATTCATTATTTATTTTTAATTAAAAAAACTTGGTTCAAACCTTTTTTTTTAACATTATCTTTAATATGAACACAACATGTGTTGGGAGTTTGGGACCCTTTAATAATTTGTTTTTGTTTTAGATACTCATATGTTATCTTTGTATTACAAAATATACAAACATATACATACATACATACATATATATATATATATATATATATATATATATATATATATATATATATATATATATATATATATATATATATATATATATATATATTTATATATATATATATATATATATATATATATATATATATATATATATATATATATATATATATATATATATATATATATATATATATACATATATATATATATATATATATACATATATATATATATATATATATATATATATATATATATATATATACATATATACATATATACATATATAAATATATATATATATGTATATATATATATATATATATATATATATATATATATATATATATATATATATATATATATATATATATATATATATATATATATATATATATATAAAAAGAAAATTTTGTGAAATTTTGTATTCATTGCAAAATCATTACAAATTAAAATCACTAAAAATATTTAAAAGAAAAAACTTACATTCATTAGAATGTCCTTTTGGAATAATATCTAAAAAATAAAACAAAAAAAATAATTAAAGTAAAAATTTATAAAAAAGTTATAAAAAAATTATTAAAAGTTTTTATTTATAAAAAAAAAAAAATTAGTATGAAAAGAGAAAATAAAATTTCCTCTCTTTGTAGAATGTGAATGGCCCAGTTAACATGATGATATCATACTTTTAAAATAATATATTATTAGAAGTATTTTAAGAATAATAATAGTAACAATAAGATAAAACAAGAAAATCTTAAAATAATGATTAAACTAAAAAACTTTAAAGTATATAAGTATTGTATTCTTCCTTGAAAGGTGTAGCAAGCCTTGTAAATCCATGTAAGTATTCCTTATTCAGATCTCCGTGTTGATGGGTACTACCCTTTAATTCACATAGACACTCATATTTACATGCTTGGCTTGGGAGTATACATATGCATCAATTTACCTATTTGTTGTGAAATCAGGTTTAAATGCTTTGGCCATTCTTTTAAGTGCTTCCGTTTACCACCTCTTCACTCTATATCGCTTTTCTTTTTTGTTCATTATCGTTCTCCTTCTTCCCTGGCTGAAAACTTGATAAAGGTTAAGGCCATTGCTCTTGAGATTTCTAAAGCGTTTGATAAAGTTTGGCATGCTGGTCTTCTTCATAAGCTTTCTTCTTATGGTGCATTTGGAAACATCTTTAAGATTATTGAATCCTTCCTATCCAATTGTAGTATAAAAGTTGTCCTCGATGGACAGCACTCTTCTTCTTATTCTGTAACCTCAGGGGTTCCTCAAGGTTCAATCCTTGGCCCTATACTTTTTTTTGATTTACATTAACAATCTTCCAGATATTCTCATATCTAAGGTGGGATTGTTTGCTGATGATACTAACATTGATTCTTGTCATGATAAGAAGCCAATACTCTCTTGCTTGGAGGGGCATTTGGGCTTGAAGAGGATCTTACTAAAAAAAATCTCAGTTAAAAAAAAACTAAAAAAAAAAGGTCGTACATTATTTAACAGTTTGGCTCCAAAAAATCTTAGTATAATTGCTAAAGTTAACGTTCAACGTCGTTTCGCTTTTGTTTTTAAAAAAGTTTTAATTAGTTACTAGGCTTTTCTGAATTTGAAAGAGCGCATTCTTAAAATGCATGTGGTCATAAAAGAAAGATCTATCAATCGAGTTGAAAGTTTTTATCTTTTAGAATTTAATAATTATTTATTAGCTTCGAAATATTACATAAAGAATCATATTAAGATAAATAATTATTGCTAAAACCATATTATAATTGAAGTAATTTTATTAGATATAAAGTAGAAAGGATCGCACCTTTTAATTTTTTTAAATCATTTATATTTTGTTTGTTTTTGTATTTCTTTATTTTTATTTTTATCAGTTTTATTTTTATTGAGCTTATTTTTTATTTTTTAGAAGGAAAATTTAGAAGGCTTATGATGAGGTCTAATTATTTTATTATAAAATGGATTTTTTATGCAAAAAGTTATACAAATGCTTTTTAAATTAAATTGGTTATTACTATTTTGAAATTTCTGTGATGCTATTAACTATTGTTCTTTTTTTTAGAAAATTTAGAAAAATAAATTAATATTTTGTGTTAACACTGACATGACATGTTATTGTATGTAAAGGTTAAATTTTGTTATAAGGATTACAGTTCTTCTGAAAAAAAATATAAAGGTAAAGAGTATTGCTTGTATGTATACATAAATTTATATTTTGTTTACTTTGAATCTTTTTAAACTTCCTTACGTCATGTTAAAATTTTTTGCACAATTCAAGTTATATATGTTAATTGTTTGCATATATGCTTTTTTGATAAGTATGTGTATGTGGTAATATGTGTTTTATAGCTGTTTTATCAATGTGTTTTTATAATAATATAAAGTGCTTTTTCATTGTTTGTGTATGTGGTAATTTGTTATATAATTGTTTTATAAATGTGTTTAAATATGCTTATATAAGGTTAAATATATATATTGCGTTTAAAGTTGGTATATATGTTTATATTATGTTGTTTCCATGTTTTCAAAGTGCTGTGATTTAATAAACGTTTAGAACAAGATTTGTCAACTTTTGCCAGCCAAGTAATGTACTTATAGCAGAGGGTTACACGGCAGTGTTTAGTGTCAAACTGTTACTTATTTAGGTCTAGGTGTTTTCAAGCCTTTATTATAAATTATTCTGAAAACACATAATAATGTACTTTAATAACATTTTGCGCAATGTTGTTACTTATGTTCTGTTATATATGAATGTTATGTTACTTAAGTTATGTTATATGCATATTATATTAACTTATGGTGTGTGCTATTGTTGTTGTGATGTTTTTTTTTTTAATTCTGTCGTGATGTGGTTTTGTAATCTTTTGAGTTGATAGACATTTGGCTTACCTTCACGTTGGTGTCTATTGTTAAAAATGATAAATAGGTAATTTCAATATTCGATCTCACTTTTTAATTATTCACTAAAAGCCTACTACTCCTTATTATATATATATATATATATATATATATATATATATATATATATATATATATATATATATATATATATATATATATATATATATATATATATATATATATATATATATATATATATATATATAAAAGTTGACATAATTCAGGGTTCACAACCCTAAATGTGCTACATTGATTAGAAATCATGTTACATTATCTCAGTATTACAACTAAAGACTTTTAGTTAGACAATTAACCTAAACAAACTGAGAAGCAAGCAGTATAATGCCTTACACGAACATGTAAACAACCTTGGAAATGATCATGTTAGACCAGGATGTGTTGTAGTTTTGCCATCAACTTATGTAGGAAGTCTTAGAGCTTTATTTAATTTAATTTGTTTAAATGTAATAGTTTTAATAAAAAAATGTTTGTTCAAGGTTTTTAAATTTTAAAGTAACAGATTGGGGCTTGCAGTAACTTGTTTAACCCCAATAAAATTCAGCTATTTACTGGAAATAACTATTGAAATCCTGTTGACATTTCTATATTAATGAATGGCTTGCCTCACTGAGTCCTCGTCTTTACGTCTTCTAGTAGACGGGGCCTTTTTACATTGGCTTTTTGGAATAATAAAAGGATATTTGTTCTTAAGAGATGTTCTTGTAAAAAAGATGAAATAAATGATTAATAAAGCAACTGCTCAAGATGGTGAAAAATATGGAGTAGAACTAGTAGGTACTTAAAATTGAAGAGTAGGAGTTAAAGCTTCCAAACTTTTAGTCATAAACACACACAAAAAACAATTTTGAACAAATTAACTGGATTTGATATCAGAATCTATTGGCGCCAATGCTTGAAAATTTTTTTTTTTTTTTTTTAACATCTTCACTTCCAACAAGGCTGCAAGCAACCACTATAAGAGTTGGAAGTTACTGGAAGAGAAAAGACTAAATCTGTAGAGCAAGATAACGATTGACTGATGACTTAAAAGATTGCAAATTATATGAATCAGGAAAGCAAGATGAAGGAAGCGAATTCCAAAGAACTGATGTTCGAGGAAAAAAACTAGAAGAATAAGAGTTTTTGAAGCACTTAGGAACAGTCACAGAAAAAGGATGAGACTTAATTGAATGGCGAGTAACACGAGAGTGAATTTTAGTAGATGGCACAAGGGACGCTAGCTCTTTAGAGCAGTGCCCATTATAGTATTTGTAGAAAAGAGAAAGAGAAGCAACATTACGACGATGTGATAAAGGTTGGAGATTGGCTGCAAGAGCAGGTCCAACTATGTTTACAATTCGTTTTTGCACCTTGTCTAAAAGAGAAAGGGCATCATTAGAAGATCCGCCCCAGATGTGGCAACAGTATTCCATACAGGAACAGATTTGAGATTTATAGAGATAGAGAATAGAATCTGGAGTAAGAAAGTGTCGAGCTCGATAAAGAGATGCAACCTTAGCAGATGCTAATTTTGCAATGGATTTGATATACGGTTTAAAAGAAAGATCAGAAGTAAGAGTTAATCCTAGTAGATGAATGGTAGATGACTCATCTAGTACATTACCATTCATAAATATAGGAAGATCTAAATTATTACGATAACGATTGGCCGAATAAAATTGAGTTTTATCTGAATTAAAGTTCACCAGCCACTGTGAGCCCCATGCTGTAGCAGAAGCGAGATCCTTTTCAAGCTCAGATACCCCCTCCAAGCAATCAGAGAGTGCAGGCTTCTTATCATGACAAGAGTAAATGGTAGTGTCGTCAGCGAATAATGCCACCTTAGATGTGAGAATATCTGGAAGATCGTTAATGTAAATTAAAAAGAGTATAGGGCCAAGGATTGAACCTTGAGGAACCCCTGAAGTTACAGGATGTGAAGAAGAGTGTTGTCCATCGAGGACAACTTTTATACTACGATTGGAAAGAAAGGACTCAATAATCTTAAAGATGTTACCAGCTACACTATAAGAAGAAAGCTTATGGAGAAGACCAGCATGCCAAATTTTATCAAAAGCTTTAGAAATGTCAAGTGCGATAGCCTTAACCTCTCCACCTCTATCTAATGCACGGTAAAACCTATCGGTTATTACTGTTAGCACATCAGCTGTAGAACGAGAAGACCGAAATCCATATTGATGATCAGAAAGTAAGTTATTTGATTCAAGATGAGAGATTAAGTGTTTGTTGATTAAAGATTCAAAAACCTTGCTTATGACAGGAAGAAGACTAATGGGACGGTAGTTGGATGAATCAGATCGCTCTCCGGAATTTTTGAAAATAGGGATAACAGATGCTGCTTTCCAGCATGATGGAAAACAAGACTCTGATAAGCACTTGTTAAATAGTTTAGAAAGTATGGATGAAAGCTCCGGAGAACACCTCTGCAAAACTACAACAGAAATGTTGTCAGGACCACAAGCTGTTGAAGAGTCTAAGCAGGAAATTACTTTAGATACAGAAGCTGAAGTGATGCGAATGTCAAGCAAGGGATCAACCTGTTTGACGGCTATGTCAGGTAAAACGCAACTAGTGGAATC